GTGAATATAACTTGCTCAATTTTTTTCATTACTAATGTTACTGGATTGCCTCTGAACAAATTGATTCCTGCTCTCCATTTACCCTTTCTACTGTTCACTTTTTTTCATTCTCCCAACCTATCTTTGTTCCATGTTAACCTAATGTTTTGAAGTTATACAGCCTGTAAGTGGCTTATTTAATTTTCAAATACATACATTTCTACTTGTATCCATAGCTTTCTAATAACATTAAGAGTTAAGCACAAGCTATATACTCACTCTAAGCAAGTTAAGAACTTTGACAGCAATTTAATTCCTTAATTCTGTTTCTTTCTGGTCAACCTTCTTCTGTACCCTCATGTTGAGGTCTTCTGGGTTTTAATTACAAATTGGCATCAAAATTTTAAATAATGAATACTTACTTAGGCTGAAGCCTAAGTTTTCCTGTTTTTGTTGCTCATTTCTATTCCTCAAATCTCCCACAATTTTTGTTGAATTAATTTCCAGCAACAAATCCTGTAGAAATTCTTTTAGAGAAAGTTTGGGGTACTAAACTTTTAGAACTGTGTATGTCTCAAAAGATTTTTATTTTTCCTAACAACTGATGGTATTTGGCAGGAAAAAGAATTTTAAAATCCAAACAATTTTCTCTCAGAACTTTAAGATAATCACTTTTTAAAAATTTATGTCTAATGCTACCAAGTAAAGCACAACAAATCTCACCTAGAAGCTTTTAGGAAGGATTTCCTCATTTGTCTGTGACCTGAATTTTCTGTCAGATGATTTAAGATTGGGTATTTTTCCATTCACCTTGCTAAATAGTTTCATCCATAGGTCTTTTCTCCTTTTTCTCAATTTTGGGAATTAGAAATTATTTATTTGAATATTTCATTCCACATATTCCTCTGAAATCCCTGTTATTTCTAATGTTAGAAGTACCACTTTTCTCCCCACACTTAACATCTTTTTCTTATAGCCAATAATACAAGAGATCAAGATACAAATTTCCAGCTCACTGATTTGTCCTTCAGTTATGCCTATGGTACTATTCATGGTGGGGAGTCCAGTACATTTGTTTCAACCATTATATATTTTGTTTCTTGCATCTCTAAATGTTTTTTCCTTGTAAAATTTGTTGAAATTTCACAAATGCATAATGCTATCTTATACCTCTGAAGATATTAATTAGACTTCTGATGCAATCTGCATTTGTTTATTCTGTCACTTCCATTCACTAAACTCTTAGTTCTCTAGTTAAATGCTTTTTCTGAAAATGGAGTTGATTTTCTCATGTTTGGTGATCCTAGGTCACTTGTTTAAATTTTTATCCTCTCCATTTCAATGTGAAAGGTCCCACTGCCTGGGGGCAGATACACCTTGAGTGATGGTGGTGTGATGCTCTGCTTCTGCATGCTGGGTGTAGCATTCATTGCTGGTCCCTGGAAGCAGAAACCTCTGCTTGATAGTGGGTGTAGTGAGGGACTCATCTACCCAGCACTGCCTTCAACAGTAACTCAGAGCCCCATCCTGATCCTGTGTCTAGCATCCCAGACTCAGAGCAATGCTTGATGCCACATCTAATGTCTAATTCAATACGAATTTTGAGTATAGTCCCTCCCTTCCCTTTTCTTTCAGAACCAGATTCAGATTTTTACTCTATCTATCATCTATCCATCCATCCATCATCTTTCATAATTCCTGGCCTATATGGGGGGTACATTCTTATTTTAGAGTATCATAGAGTCAAGATTAAGATTTGCTTATTTTCTGTAATTTCCAAAGATTTGGGGAAGGTGGGAAGACAAGCATACTGCCTTGATTCAATGTTTAATATTCATTACATTTGTGGAGTTTCTCTTTAGCATGAATAGTCTGGTGGAAGCAGAATAGTTTTGTTTTTAAAAAAGGCATTTGAAAGGTAAAAGTGTACAATGTTTGCACTTGGGGTACAAGGCAAGTATACAAATTCTTTATTGTAGTAATGTGTTATTCTACAAAGCTCTCTCCCACCTAAAGATAGCCTCAGCTAGGTGAGATATTGTAGTTGCTAATTAAATGATGTGTTTGTAAGGTTTAGCCAAAGTTCAGAAAGATTCCCATAAATTATCAGTGTATCTATTAAGGCTTCTCCCTTGCTGAAGTAACAGATGTGTCTTCCTCAGGAAAAAGAAAAAAAAAACTTTAAAATTTTACTTAAAAAATAAACCTGTCAGTGTTGGATTTGGGACAGCTTAGTGAAGTGAAAGGCAAATGGCTCTTGCATTCTTGTGATCTGAGATCAGATGATTTGATTCAAATGATAGGAAAATATGGATAATGGGAAATAAACCAGGTGCTTTTGTCACGCACATCATTATGCAGTATTGGAGCAGGACTTGGAACCTGCTGACTATATCATGGCCTGAGAGTTCCAGCTTCTTAACTGTGACCAAAACTCTGGCAAGTCTCAGTTCTGAGAAATATCCAATGAGTGTAACTGAAACCACCTGAGCCACTTGGTGATGGACTTTTCTCTCTGGATTCTGTATGTCTACACTGACTTTAGCTCACTCTTTATTTAGACATATATTTTTTAAGTTGTTTTGGGGGATGATGGATTTGGGTGTTGCCCAAAATTCTCTTGCACCATGAGTGCTCTCTGAAAAGAGTGTCTGATACATACACACACACACACACACACACACAGTGAGCTTTGTCTTGACTACTACATTAATTTTCCAAAAATATGTTTGGCTTCTAAGCTTAATTCATGAAGAGGTTTCCATGTTCTTGTACTAAGTTTCCATAAATGTTACTAACAAAGAGTTGGATGGGCTTTAGCAATTTCTTTTGTTTTTTTAGTAGACAGGCTTTGGTGATGCAAACTAAAAAGCAGGAGGCAGGGGATATTCAGGGAGAGGGAATAATTGGGTGTGTAGGTCACAGGTAAAGCAAATGCTATGCCTCTCCAAAGGCATAAGAGTAGTGGGCTGAGGGTGTAGTTCAGTGGCAGAGCATGTGCTTAGCATGTGGGAGACTCTGGGTTGAATCCCTAGCACTAAAAAGATAGCTAGATAGATAGATAGATGGATGATAGAGTAGTGACACTTAAGACATCACATTTTATTGGCAACACTGAGGGAGAGGGATAGAGAGAATCAATAGATAGAACAGACAGATAGACTGAGATTTATGTGTGTATCAGAATGGTACTCATGAAAATTAAATTTGTGTTTTTAGCTCTGTTCTCATGAGATGGGAACTGGTAACATCTGAGTTCTCTGGGGATGTGGGACTCACTGCAGTGGATGATTCCTCACTGATACTTGAACTGTATTAGCTTGCAGGGATGAAGGAGTGGAAGCAAATGACATTTGGGCTCCCTGCATAGGCAGTCAACTGCATAACCACGAAAGGGAGTTGAACTGGTCTTTTTTTTTTTTTTTTTTTTATCAAGAAGGAAAGAACCAATGTGCTGGTGACAGATCCTCCAGAAGACATAAACATGCTCACACTCATGGTTACAGTTCTGGATTCCATCAAGGTTCTTGCTCTGTGAGAGGACTGGAATAAACACTGCATATTCTATGGGTTCCATAGGAGAACAGTCTGACTCCTGGGGAGATCCTTGAGACTGAGAAGAGGAGCAGTGGTTTCTGGTCCCTTAAAGAGCCATCAGAGCTGCACTTGGCATGGATCTTCACGGGGACAGGAACCTGCCAGGAGAAGGGCCTTGCAGTCTGAAGGGCTGGGAACAGAGAGCTCCCTAATGGGGTGCAGTCTGAAGGGCTGAAGATCTGAAGTTCTGGGATCAGAGAGCACCCATAAGGGGATGGAGTCACTCAGATGTCAGTGTTCTTCAGAGGCTTAGCCTAGCCTGTGCCAAAGGCTGGACCTGAAAGACTTCCCCAAGGCAATAGGAATAGGGCTGGGCAGCCACAGTAGAAACTTAGTGATCAGCAGGGAAAGACCCCAGTGAGGCAGGAATGTCACAGCAGTTGTGGTGGCTCAATCTGATGGTCAGATTTCCCTCTTATTGGGTTTGAATAAAGTTCCTGGTCAATGTACAGGAAGCAGGGAACCCAAGAGAGCAATGGTGGCTTTCTTGCCACTAGACACTTAGAGATTCAAACAGTTTTGATTTAATTTGAGATAAGAATGACATGACTATCCCTCAAATATTATCTTCTGGAAAAGTTCCTTACTGTTAACAGTCAAATTATTCATTTTACTTATTCATTATGAAATTGAATTTTATGTTTATGTTAATTTCATTCAATCTCATCATAGTATTAGAAAATATACACTGGAAAATAAGGACCTGATCAGAACTGATTATATGTGTTTATTTGCAAAAGGAAAAGCCAGGTAAGAATTAGGACATTTCTATAATTTCCTTCCGACTCATATTACCTTAAGGATTTTGAATCTGTTCTTTTTTTCAACTTGAACTTCTGAAAGTGCTGTTCAATTAGTAGAAAATATTTTAGGGACTAGGACCCAAAAGAATGCATATGGCACAAAATGGCAAGAAAACACTAACCATCAAGTCATCATCACTGCCTGAGGTCTCCTCTACTTCAACCTCCATCCCAAATCCCTCCTTTATAAATCTCTCAAAGGTAAATTTTATCCCCTAAAAATATTTGTGGATCAAAAACACATCCTAATGAAAATCAAGTAGCAGCAACTATAGATCTCAGACCCCAGGAACACAACTGAAAATATCAATATAATAGTACTGGATTATGTATTTTATAAACATTGAAAAAGTCTTTTCCTAGTAAAAACTGAATAAACTAAGATGAGATATAAGTGATTCAAATGAAAAGGTATTTGTAATCACAATTTTTTAATATACATGAAAGTAGTTACTTAATAAAGAATTTTTAGGGTAAGTGTCCCCCTTTTGGATTGTCTATGATAAGAATCATTAATGTTGATTTAAGCATGCTTTTGCTCTTTAGGAATATGCATTTAAAATATGTCCAGTGGGATAAATGTAAGTGGTGAGCACAGCATGGGCAATAACAATTACTTACCCTGTAGGCTGGCTCTCAAATTCTTCTGACCATTGCTCTTGAATATCCTCTGTAGAAAGATCTACATCCCGGGTGGTGGCAAAATTGAACTCACTGCCTTCATTTCCATGGAAATAAATGGAGTTTCCATCTGACTGACAGCTATGCTGTAGATAAAAAGAGAGCATGGGGTGGCTGTTGAATTGGTTTTGTAGCTGTATCTGTATAATTAGAGTTTTTAGAAAAGTCATTATATTACTCCCTCTACGATAGACTCTCAAATCAAAGAGCTTGTTACCTCATTTTTTTGTCTTATTTAATTCAATTACAATTTCCTTCTAACTTATTACGTTATCACAAAAAAGGAGTCAAGAGGGCATTTGAGCTTTGGCATCTCAGCCTTCACTCTGAAACAAGAATATTTTAATTGGAATAATTTCCCATCTTTAATACAGCCCTTGTTGTGGGAATTAAGTCTGATAATGATTTGTCATATATTTAAAATTCTGTGGTTATGGGCTAAATCGCAATGACCTTTTCAATATTCCATGTATTTCTGACTTGCCATTCAAGTCTTTCACAATTTGTCTGTAAATGGGATATGAGTAGAATAGCCAGCTAATCAAAACATGGAATACAGAAAAGGTCAAAGTAATCGCAGATATGATCATATATTCTCAGCCAGCTTTTGCAAGGAAGTTTCTAACTGGACCTAAAATGTACATGATGTCCCCAGTGAAGAGCTGGGAAATCACAAACTTTATTATCTTTCAAAAGAACACTTGCGAAAAATAAAAAAATTTTCTCGTGATATTTCTTTTTAAATGTATTTTTTCAGCCAAAGGCATGATCAAACTCTGGGGCTGAACAAACATTTACTTATCAAAGTTATAAGTTTACATTAAATATTTTTGGTAATAAGTCAAGTAAAGGGAAATGCTAATATATATAAGATCAACCATTCTTTTAAGTTTTATATACTCTTAGAATGAAACAGAAATAAAGAAAAGCAATTGGACAAAAATTACCCATTAGGCTACCCAGAGGGAAGGGACTGTGTCCACTTTGTTCTTTATTGTATCCCAGGTCTTAGCACAATGCTGGGCACAAAGTAGGTGTTCAAAAACATTTGTTGAATAGTTCAATAAATAAATGATTTACTTGCCTTTGCAAGTAATCAATCTTCTTTTATGGAGAACTATATGTAAAAGGCATTAAGGCATTTGGGGAGAATACATTCATATATGTAAATAATAAAGTGATCTTGGCTCTCAAAAATCCCAGCCTAGTTACATATGTCAGATAGGATTCTGGGCTAGGTAGCATATTATCATATGCCAATGCATGAGAGAAGGTAGGAATCACGATGTCTAAGCCTTGTCTAGACAAGCAGGCTTCATTGATGAGCAGGTCTTCAATTGGATTTAAAAGGATGGGTAGGATCCAAGTTGGATGACAAATATAATGAATTACGGTAATGGTAAGTTGGCACAATTTGAGAATTAGATTGAAGCTGACTGCAAAGGAACCATTAAGGAACATAAATGAATCTCTATGTGATTCTTTCGGCAGTGGTGTTCTAGGACAAAGGAGAAGTATGTGCAAGGAGGTTTTGATGACTACTAAATTAGGGATAGCTGGTAAAAACCAACTGGGCTGGAATCAGATTTGCCACTAAATTAGAAGAATAAATACAGTTTCCAAAAGTTTAAGAGAGTAGAAGCATATGTCATTTCACAGCACTAAGACATAAGCATGTCCTCTGGGTCCTGTCATCATTTGAGTTAATATTATAGGATGTGGCATGCACTGACTGCTTAAGAATCTTTGCCACAGCAATGAACACAGGTTATTTGTGGATCTTAAACTAAGCTTATTACATCAATCCTTAGCTCAGATACATTGATGAAAAGATAGAATTTTGTTTATTTAACAGTAAATAGAAACTATTCAAGTGATAACAAATCTAAAGGTTCTCTTTTGCCATGTATACTGTGAAGATAACCAAAACTAACTAGAATAACAAAGATAACCTTCCTAACAACAAGCCCACCAAGCTCTAAATCATGGTCTTCACAACTATCTTCACAGTCTGGAATCCTGATCAACTGTGGCCTATATTTCTCTGGAAGTAATATAAAAACTCAGACATCAATACAAATGGCAATATCCCAGGAAATGGCATACATGAAATGTCTATGTGAAAAGAGAATAACCTGTATTGCATTTTAAATAATGTATTTTATAATAAAAGAATGACTTGCCTAACATGAAACCTTGGTAGTTTCTGGTTAAATAACTATTTAATTATTTCAATTTTGTTTCATTTACCTCAATTCTTTATTAATATTTTGAAACCTTTATACATAATTTTTGCTACCCTTCTAAGATATATTATTAACCTACCTGGTAGGTTAAATTTAAAATTTGTTGAGACAGAAATTTGATATAAAAAACAAAATTATAAAGGTGAGTAGCATGTTGTTAAACTAGTTTCATAAAATGAAGGGGTATAAAACCAGGAGAGGTAGTACACACTTTTAATCTTAGCATTCAAGAGGCTGAGGCAGGAGGATAAAGAGTTTGAGACTAGCTTGGGCTGCATAGTGAGACCCTGTCTCAAAAAAAAAAAAGAATTGGTATAATAGAAAGTGAATGTATATTTTTAAAGGATTTTTTTAAAAAGTTGTTATGCTGTTCATAGTTGGTAGTTGAACAGATCACTTTCAACTATATAGCTACTATTGAAAATTATGGAATATACATTTTATCGCTATAACCACAACAGTGTCAGCATATGAAACACAAGTAATGATTACCCTAGTAAGTATAAAGAAAACACCTGGAAAAAATTAATTTCACTTTAAATGAATGCTAACCAATTTTCATATTAGTAGGTTCTAAAAACTTGTAGGATTTTTCTTTGACAAATTTATGTGAAAAATAGAATGGTATAGTTTTTGATATAGATAGAGCCAATTGTAGCAAATGAACAATATTCACTATCAAAGCTAAATTCAAACAAATAGAGCAGTGCTTTATAACAGTCAGTTTTAGCTTTTAACTGAAAACATCCAAATCCTATCTGTCAAGTTTAATGTGAGATCATAGCACTGTTCTTCCCTCCCAAATGAGCCCAATATCATTCTGGGTATGGAGAGAGAAGTACTGCTCTTTAAATATTCTCTTCTTCATATTCTTAGTATGGTGACAACTTATCAAAGAAAGCTGTGACCCACTCAAAGCAAGCAGCCACAGCTCAGGAGGAGGGAGCTCCATCTTCCCATCTCTTAGCACTATGGGGCTATTCATTTTCCAGGCAGCAGAGCCTGGAGATGCACAGAATACACACAGTTCTAGGTAGCTTCCTCTGCTCCCTACCATGCAGAAGGGATTAAGATGTGATTTCTGCCTCTCCCTCTGAGGAGAACCCAATGTTTGCAATGAGAGTAAGATGCTCCCTAAAGGTAAATGAGCCAACAGTGCAATATTGGTTCTGTGGGACTAACAAGAAGTCCTATAAAAAGGTTCTGTGTGGAAGGGCTGAATTCCCAAGCTACTTGAGAGCAATGGGCCTACAGTCTCCCTTTCTCTCTAAGAAGTTGGTTATGGATAGGCCTTGTGTTTAAGAGTCCTGGGCAGAGTAGGGGACCAGCATTGAGCTCTCATTGTGAGGATCTCTAAGTCAATTTTACAAGGAGAGGTACAGTTTCATGTTAGTTCTCATTTAGCATGGGTCAATGTCTTAGAATTGGTTTGGTTTCTTATATGCTCTTCAAACTAAGAAGTGATTCCTGTATGCATTCTGATGGACCTAGAGTCCTTGGACTTTGGTTTGTCTCCTCTCTGCATCTCTGACTCTGCATGAGAATCCAAGGCCTGCTTGGTTTAGGGGCTGCTTGAACTTTCCCCTAGAATCTAACACAATTAATTCTGCACTTACATGAATCAAGGAAATTAAGGTTTGAAAAGAACAAACTTCTAGAAACTAAAAACAAGATGATAAAGAATGAAAACTCACCAGGCACTGGTGGTTCACACCTGTAATCCTAAGTACTAAGGAAGCAGAGATCAGGAAGATCAAGGTTTGAGGCCAGCCCAGGTGACACCCTATCTGAAAATATGCAACGCAAAAAAGGACTAGTGGAATGGCTCAAGTGGTAAGCACCTGCCTAGCAACGGTGAGGCCCTGAGTTCAAACTTTCAGTACCGGAAAAAAAAAAAGAAAAGTTAGTTACTTAGAATCAGAAGACATTTTCAAATGCTTTTTTTCAGCTTAAATGCTAAAGTTTTATACAAGTCATCTCAACCCTTTTGCCCTCAGTTTCTGAGGCTAAAGAATGGAATCTAAATTCCTTAGAGATGTTGTTAGAAGCATGTGTGTGTGTGTGTGTGTGTGTGTGTGTGTGTGTGTATGTATGTGGTGTATGATCAAAGTATGTTAGTGGTATGTATTTAAATAACACAACTCACAATAAAACCTCTTTGAACTATTAAATTATGCTAATAAAAACCACAAATATATGAAGAAATATTTTGAAACTTCCCAATGTTAAAAAATAATTTTTGAATATATACTTTTTAAAATATACATCCTATTATATTCCATGATCTTAGCAGTAGAAGAGTATTTAAATATATTTTTGTTTCTCATGAGATTATTAAAATTCTTCAGTTTCAATGAAAACCTGCAGAAAAATGTAAAAGATATGTTCCACTACACAATATGGTAAAAATGCTGCAAATATGTACACACTATCAGGCCAGATAAAAACATCAATTAAAGCTATAAAATCCCTCCAAATTTGGCAGATTACCAAATATTACCCTAACAGGAAAACTCAGGAATACAAGAATGATGGATACCCTCCTTTATTTTTTTTTTAACAAATGAACTTGAATTGTCTGCGATGTTAAAAAGCCAAGTGTATGCAATGAAAGTATAAAAAAAATTTCAGAAACTTGCTGTCATTTTGATACCCAGCTGTTTTTGTTCAGCATCTATTTAAACTTGTGTCATTTATATGCAGTAACAATTAAAATCTAAACAACTTCAACAATTAAATGTCTAATTTTGTGAGATACATGAGTACTTGGTATGAAAACAACATAGGAATATTTTGGAATTCAGAACTATTTTATTTTGAACATCATGAAAATGTATCAG